ATTTTTTATAAAATTTAGGTCTAGTGAGTAAATCTTTATTATAAGATTTATTTTTTGAGTATGACTTATGTTTTTTATGGGATTTGTGCTTAAGTTTTTTAGAGGTTGATGGTGCTACTGGAGGGAGACCATATTGTTCACAAAAATTCCCCATTTCATATTTGGCTTTCTTTTTATCGTTTTGTAATTGTTTACTGATCTTGAGATCAATACACATCCTAAGTCCTTCCTTTTGGATAGTACTAACAAGTTGGCCATAAGTCAGTGAATCATATTCTATGATCCCAGTGTCTTTACTAAGGGCTTCTCTGATTTTATGGGCAAATAGATTAGGTAAATCATTTACAAATTTTTCTTTCCAGAATGATTTATTACAGTCTGGGCGAAGCATAACTCTATTGATAAAAACATCTTTATACCATCTAAAGTCACTAAGTGTTGGGCACCTGAGGTTACTAAGCTGGTTATGAATCCTAGCTTCAATATTACTTGGTGTACCAACAAAATGTTTGACAATGGTGTATATTAAAGTGTTTAAACCATCTGGTTTTGATCTTCCAAGTCTCTCATCAAAAATTGGAATGCCATCATCATCAAGAACAACAGCATTTCTAATATCATCCCTAGAATCTGGAGTAAGGTAATTGTCCCACCAACTCCTCAGTACTCCAGTAAATCCTGAGGTAACTAAGTCGATAATTTGGGGTTCAGGATCATTAAGGTTATTTACATAACTATTAATGACCATAGACATGTGATGAATTTTGTTGAGAATTTCTTGCTCACTTAATCCATCTATGTTCCATTCATAGAGCTTGTTTGATTGAACTGAAAATTGGTTAGAAATATTTTTCTCTTCAAATTGAATATCTGGGGGAGTGGGTTTGGAGTACCAATTTTTTGTAGAACTAGAAGGGAAAACCAGCTTATTGATTTTAGAAATAGGTGCACTTATACTTATGTCAGTGAACTATTTTTCTAAGCTTTTAATATCTTCCTCAGATGAAGATATGGTTGCCAGCATACTCCTAAAGCCTTAACCTTAGGAATCAAACTCTCTGGATAAATCTTAGACTTAGTAAAAGAAACTGCTTCTTTAGCTTTAATCTATAGAGTCTATTACAAATGCATAACCACCAACATGAATGTGCACGCATTAAAGAAAAGCCCTAAAGAAAGTACTCTGTTAATCCAACCTAGTACCAGTGAAGCTAATGTCCAAGTCCCCAAAAGACTTCAATGGAAGGACATTGAACTTCCAGAATCATGGCTCGTCACTAATGAAAACCATGATAAAGACAAAGAAACAACATCTACCAATCTAGAAACTGTCCAGCAGCTTTCTGATGGAATGGTTAGGATCTCCTTCGATTCAGCCAGATCCCATAGGTCCAGTAGATTTAATGAACCTATTAGGATTAATGAAGGAAGAAGATCAGATGTTGATTCTACTATATCCCAAAGAGATAGAGAAATTGCAAAAGAACTGCAATTTAGGATTAACCAACTTGAAAAACAATATAAAATGAAAGGAGTAGATAATGAGTCATCTCCACACCTTAGCAGACCTCATTATACTCACAAACCTCCTTTAGTTAATACATATTCTAGGTTTAAGGAAGAAGAAGAAAAGGATAGGGAAGATGATTTTACTCCATCACCCACTGCTTCTGATCTAGAAAGTCTTAAGCCTAATCCAGATTTAAGTCATCAACTCTATGTCATAAATACAAAACCTAGTACTTTATTCCTACCAGACATTGCTCAATTAAAAAGTAGGATGGTTAAGGATAAACTTAGAAATAAAGAATTCTTTAAACAATATAATGGACAACAAAGAAAAGAAACTCAAGTTCAATGGATTAAAACAATGCACAAAATTGAATCTGAAATTGAATTTTTTGATTACCTTGCCTCTTGTCACAAAGATGTAAAAGTAATAACAAAACATAAATGGAAAACTACGGATTCAGGAATTGTCTCTTCTAGTCATCCTCCAACCCAAACTTTTACATTTAATTCTGCTGACAAACAAATCGTGGCTTCACCATTTAAGATCCCTCCTCCTGAAAATACTAAGGCATCAACAGACCAAGTGGCTTTAGACAAATTTCATAAGAGAGTAATTGAACATATATATATATATATATATATATATATATATATATATATATATATATATATATATATATATATATATATATATATATATATATATATATATATATATATATATATATATATATATATATATATATGTATGTATGTATTATAGAAGAGCTTATTTGAATTAAGCTTGTCATAACTAAATGTCATACTTAAAAAACAATTAAAATTGAGCATGTTAATCGTGTCAGGTGAAACAAGTTTGTGTCAAGTTTTAATAGGTTCGTGATAAAAAAAATTTCACTCATATCCAATTCGTTTATTAATTTGTTTCTTTTTACACCCAAAAATAATAAAATATAAGGGTGACACATTGAGACAATCCGACGATCATGAAAATGGGTCTCTAAAAATCCCAAAAATTGAGAAAAATGACATCACAACTCGTCAATTAGAGACGATTCAGTACACATCTATAAATTTCGAGGAAAAAGATCATGATTACGGTCATAGTCAGAAAAGATGACTTTGACAATTGAAGATCAACCCTATAAATAACAAAGATATGGCTATAGAGAAAAGATCAATGATCAAACACAACAAACTTTACATAGAGTTGGCCTCTCTCTTACTTCTTATTACTTCCCAACAATTTTACTTTTTTTTTGTAATTCGTCACTTCCATTTTTATATCCAAAATTTTGAGTCAAATAGTGATAATGAGAACATTGATAAAGGCGAAAGGAATGATCCACTTTCGACACCTGAGATGGATTCTACTGGGAATGTACTATCTAATAAAAGACAAAAATCTAAGGCTTGGGATCACTTTGAGAAAATCAAAACTAAGAATTATAATGGGGTTATTACATCAGAAAAGGCTATATGCAATAAATGTAAAAAAGATTTTGTTGGAGACTCTAAAAATGGAACTAGCCACCTAACTAGACACCTAATGACATGTTTATTAATATGTCAAACTGATATTAAACAAACAATGTTATCACAATTTGCTAGCACCGATACACAAAGCACTTTTAGTTATGAACCTGAATCTACTAGAAAAATAATTGTTAGATGAATTGTTATAAGAAATCTTCTATTTATTCTTATAGACAATGCTGAATTTAAATAAATGTTACAAAGTGGTTTTAATCCTTCTTTCTGAAAGTTTTCTCGTTAAACATGTCAAATAGATGTTATTAAATATTAAGTACAAGAAAAAAAATAATTTAATTGCTTATTTTGATAATCTTAAAAGTAAAATTTGTTTGACTTATGATATTCGGACTTCTTGCCAACAATTATAATATTTATGTATAAATGCTCATTTTATTAATGATAATTGGGTTATGCAAAAAAGAATTATTACTTTTACAAGGATTGAAGATAATCATAGTGCATAAGTTATTTTTGAAGTTATTTATAATTAGTTACAAATTTATCGTATTCAAGACAAGATTTTTACTATTATTTTAGATAATGCAACAAATAATAGTGGGGTTGTAAGTCATTTAAAATGTTATTTAACTTTATCATGTGCAGGTATTTTTTTTCATATGAGATGTATGTGTCATATCATAAATCTCATAGTACAAAGTGGTCTCCATGATATTAGATTTGTAATTGATAAAATTAAACATATTATTTATCATATAATAGGTTCTGACTTAGGACATTTGGAACTATGTGTAAAAAGAATAATTTAAAATGCAAAAAAAAAATATATATCATATGATGTACAACATAGGTGGAACTCTACCTATAAAATGTTAGATGTAATAGTTAAATATAAAGCTGCCTTAAATGACTATGTTAGTATAGATACCATTGGTTCATTGTCACATCCCACTGAAGAAGAATGAGATGTCACTGATAAAATGAACGATTTTTTGAAAGTTTTTTATGAGGCAACTATGATTTTATCTGGTAATTATTATCCAATTATTACACTTACCTATGTTCGTATAGTTAGTATAAGTGATCTTTTTGAACAATATAGTACTGAACCTAAATTTTTTACTATTTTACATAATATGCAATCTAAATTTAATAAATATTTCTCACCACTTCCTATACTTGTTGGTTTTGGTATGTTAATTGACCCTCGATTTAAAGAATTTGGCCTCACAAGTGTTTTTATGTCTCTATATGGTAACTTAAATAATGCACACATGAACCACATGAATAAAATAAAATATTATTTTAAAATTTTTTTATTGAATATAGTGTAACATTTGAAAATAGTGGTACACTTACTCCCCCTTCAACTTCTAGTGAATTCCCCCCTAAACACCTTGGCCCACAATGACTGCCCATTCAGAAATTGCTCAGGGTATATGGAAGCAGCACATATTTCCTAGTGCTCAGTTGTGTACTTGGAAGATATATAAGAATGCTTTGTCTACTGATGCTAGGGTGCAAAGTATGGGAATTTCCTTGGTGAGTAGATGCAGTCTATGTGGTATGAAGGTGGAGAATATTACTCATTTGTTTGTTAATTGTTGTTTTGCTCATAATGTGTGGAGGAGATTATCTAATGTTATGGGTTTTGTGCTTTGTAGAAGTGAATCTCCTATATGTAGATTCTTGAGACTGCTTAGATCTTTTAAGGCCCAATCTCTGATTCATAATTTGATTAGAGGAGTTGCTATGTTGGTTTTTTGGGCATTATGGAAGGAAAGGTGTAGGAGAAGGTTTGAGGGCTTGTATTTAAATGCCTATGGCATATTTTTGCAGGTGCTTCATGCTTTGAGAGGGCGGGCTTATTTGATTAAGTCTAAGAGAATGGATGAATTGAGGGAAAGAAAATGTTGAATGATTTGAAAATTATTTATCTTTTCTATGTCTATACTAGAGTTAAGTGGATTAAATGGGAACCCCCTTCGGATTCCATGTTGAAATTGAATGTAGATGGAACTTCTAAAGGGAACAGTGGTCTTGCTGGTGGAGGTATGGTTTTAAGAAATGTTCAAGGTCATGTTGTACTAGCAGCTGCTATATTCTATGGGATAAATTTCAAGTTTAGACATGTATATAGGGAAGCTAATAAAGTTGCAGATTTTTTGGCTTCTTATGTGGTGAATTCTGGCAGTTGCTCTGAATTTTCTGAAAGGGAAGTACTGCCACTTGCTGGCAGATTACTCCTGCAACAGGATCAAGGCATGATGCCCATTGCTAGATTGAAGAGAGTGCTTGTTTGTGAGCAAAGGCATGGGATTGGATGATGATGCTGATGAAGTGGGTAGAAGTACAATGATGACTGGAGTGAATGTATGGACAGTACCCAGATGCTCTGGATTAAAGCTAGCTCCTATGTATTGCTAGGAATGTATGATGACAATTCTGTTGTGCTACTGTTGCTACATTGCTATCTTGACATTACAGTAGTGGAGGAGATTCAAAGGTTAAGATGTTGAGCTATGGGATACAACAGCTATATAGGAATGCTGACTGGTGCCAGTAAGGAGAGTTGTTGTGTTGATTGAGCTGGTGAGCTGGTTTTTCAGCTGATTTAACAGATGCAACAGGACCTGAACTGGAGTGCTGGTTGGATGATTCTATGTGAGCTGTTGGGTATTTGTAATTGGTACAGTAGTTGCAGCAGGCGTACAGGTGGCAGATCAAACTTTTGTCTATTTTTTCCTATAAATGTTTTTTAACAGAATTTCTGTTACAAAACAGAAAATCTGTTTGTAACAATTTTTCTGTTTCAATTTTTGTAAACACAATTATTGTTTTTGCCTAAAAATAGTTTCTGTTTTGATTCTTGTAATTTTGAGGTTTTATCAATAAATTTTTCCTTTTTCTAAAAAAAAAAAAAACTAATAATGATAAAGGTAAAACATCTATGCTAACTTCAATATTAACCAGAGGAGGTATGTTAACATCCAAGGGATTAACTAAACTTCAGCAATATTACAATGCTCCACTGGTAGGTGTTAAAGATTCTGATTTTGATATTTTGGCCTGGTAAAAAGGATAAGAAAGTAGGCTTCCAATTTTTTCCACCATGGCTCGTGATATACTACCAGTTCCTATGTCGACTGTAACATTTGAATATGCTTTTAGTACAGGTGGGCGTGTCATTGATGAGCATAGAAATTGTTTGGATGGAAAGACAGTGAAAGCCCTCATGTGCCTTCAAGATTGGTATGCCGCTAAAACGAAAGATCAAAATATGGAAATAAATCCCTCAACATCAGAATTTGAAGTTTTAGAATTTAGATATTAAGACTAATGTATTTTTTTTTTCATGTATTAAATATACAAGCTTTCTATGTACAAAAATTTTAATGGGTAGAATTATGCAAATGATAGATAGGTGAGTAGGGATCAATCTAATTGGGATGCACTCATTCTATTATGATGCAATTTCTCTTATATTCATAAATAAAATTATTCATTATTTAATTTTTGTTCTTTTTAATTTTGACTATACTTTTAATTCAAACATATAATTTACAAAAAAATTATATGAAGATGTATTTTTTTAATAGGGCCCAACAAACCGCCTAAAATAGACCCAAAACAAACCCGCCCAACAGGCCCAACAAAAGCCCGCCCGCAAAGCCCGCTTAATAGGTGACGGGCTGGGCTGAACTACGGGTAGCTTACCCCTACCTGAAGCCTAGCCCGACCCTCCACTCGCCCAAGTATGAGTTTGGGCCTACATTATCCAAAGTCCCGCCCAAAACAAATTCACTGGTTGAGCCCAACCAGGCTCATGGACAGTCCTAGGTGGGATGGAGAGCTCTGAAAAATAAGTATGAAACCATAGTTGAAACACCCAAAGGGGACCTAAGCCTTTACTCATCCTCGCCGCCATAAGTGACCCACATCCCACGATAAAAGTGGGCGAGCATTATAGGAGCAAGGGTATAAGAAGTTCCTGCGGCTAGATTGATGGCCAGCTAAATGTACTCCTTAGTACCTTTGTATGACGATGTGCAGAAGAATAATGATTAAACCAATAAAGTAGGAATGAGTTGTGTGTTCTTGTTCATACTGAAGAGTCATTGAAGCCACGATAGGCTGCAATAAAGAGGGAATAAACAAAAATTGGCTTGCCTGACACATCAGTTGGAAAGTAGTATAGCTCGCTTCAACATAAGCAAGTAAAACATTAGCCTCAGCCCCAAAAGGAGAAAAGGCGAGTAGTGCAGGTATATCATAGACCCTAGGGGCCGTCATACCAAAAATGAAATTGAAAGGTACTGTTCGTCACGAATCAGAATAAAAAAGCAGCGCAAAGTAGCTATTTGTCGATAGGCATCGTGATAATGCTAAGTTCTATAGCATCATAGAGGTCAAGGTGACGCTACAGAGTACCTTTTGTCGCTTTAACATGAGCAACACATGATATCCAATCTTTATCGCTTTCATTTAATGTTAACTACGGTACTCTTTACATCTTCTAAGTTTAGTTTATCTGTTACTTTATATTACAACTTTATTTCTTCGCTGTAGTCCATTACGTTGCTAGTTGAAAAATTATTTAAAGTCCTTAATCCTGAAGGCATAGAAAAGAACTCAAAGGTAGTCTTACGCCTCGTTACAATTGCCTAAATAATCACGATTTTAAAATCTTACACTGATTCGAAAAGATAAGATTATACGCTTTTGGATCTTAAGTCGAATCGAACTTTGACACACTCACAATCCAAACATACGCCAAACAATGTCATTCCAGATTCCTGTCATGTACAAATTGTGAATAACAGATATAGAAACAAGTTTTATAATGTATTTTTTTAATTGATTTCATTCATATTAATTCATTAATCGTGTCGTGTTAGATTTTTTTGTTTACGAAACAGATGACTTAAAAAAAAATTCTCTAAATTTATACCATATTAATATCGTGTTAACTTGTCGTATCATATTTTCAGATCCACTAATTTGAACTAACCTTACTCAACAACACAAAGAATTTTTTTTTATTAATCTTCCAGTGAAAGAGCAGGATAAATTGGTTTTGGTTTGCAAATTATTAGTAGCAGGGGATTTTTTTTGTTATTTTTCATACCTAAGGGGGCGTGTCTGAATTAGGAAAGAAGTTCAAACGTATCTGAATGTAATTTACCCATGACTATAAGAACTTTGTAAAATTTGCAAATACAGCCTGGATTATGTTTCTTCCCGTTTGAATCCCCACTCTGGATCATCAATTCCTCCTTTTCCAACCCAATACTGTTGTTATCTCCGGAATCAAGAGAGACAAAGAGAAATCCAACTGAACCAGAAATGAGTGTGATCGATATTTTAACTCGAGTCGATTCGATCTGCAAGAAGTACGACAAATACGATGTTGACAAGCAGAAAGATCTAAATGTCTCCGGCGAAGATGCCTTCGCTCGCCTCTACTCCGGCGTCGAAGCCGACATCGATGCCGCTCTTCAGGTCAATCTTGATCTCTGTTTCATATTGTCTAATTTTAAGATTTTGATTTTGAATTAAAGTGTAAGCAATTTGGTTCTTCAGAAAGCCTCGGCAGCTTCCAAGGAGAAAAATAGGGCTTCTGTAGTAGCGATTAATGCGGAGATTCGTCGCACCAAGGCGCGGTTGCTTGAGGATGTCCCCAAATTGCAGAGATTGGCTATGAAAAAGGTCTCATTTTTTTCCAATTTCGATTCATTTTGAATAGAAATGGGTATACTTGTGTTTTTATTTACGTTCCTTATGTTGACTTGATTGCTTTTGTATTATTTTAGGTTTATGATGCATTTTTCTGTTTTTGTTTTTTGGTGATATCATACACTACCTCCCCTATTAACATTTTCGGAAAATAACACTTTGAGACTTTTTTTGTTGGCATGTATTTCATGAGTTATGAAGTTGTTGCAAACAACATTCATTTAATGGAATTGTTATATTGAAGTTATGATCGTCTATTCAATTCCACTGCACATTCCATCCCTCTGCATAACCTAGATTGATGATGAGGGGGGCAAGATTGTTTAATGGCAGTCCTTACACTGCAAGTTCAAGCTAACCAACAATATGGAAGAGTCCTATGGGATTACCTGAATTATCCCTTTTTGTTTTCTCATTTAGCTTATATTCTTCAAACAATGGGATCATTTTGAGAATTATAATTATCATGCCTTGGGAAAAATTTGGGTGGGATGGAACCCAAATATACTTTCTATCAATAAGGTAGCTGAATCTGATCAGGCTGTCCATTGCCTTGTGACTCATAAGGAGAATAAGCTAAAGTGTTATATTACATTTGTGTATGCTTCTAATGATGATCAATTGAGAAGACACCTTTGGCAAGATATATCTTATCATTTGCTAGTCTCTTCTATAATCCGCCATTAGATAAGGGAGGAAGTTTTAAGTGGACACAAGCTATGGAGAATTTTGATAATTGCTTACAGGAAACTAAGCTTGTTGATCTCAGATATTCTAGTATTCTTTATACTTGGTAGAATAAAAGGGTTGGTGAGGCTTGTATGGTAAGGAAACTTGACTGAGTTCTTGTTAATGCTAAATGGATATTGGAACTAGTACATGGTGAAGCAGAGTTTTTATTTGTTGGTGGCTATGATCATAGTCCTGGTATTGTGAGGTTAGGATCAAAACATAAGAAAAGTCTTGTCATTTTAAATTCTTTAATTTTTTGGCTGATAAAGAAAATTTTCTTCGACTGTTGCTCATCAAAAACTTGAGCTGTAAAAGCAAGAGTTTAAGAGGATTAACCAGAAACAAATTGGAAACCTTACCTCCTTGGTCACTAAGGAGGCTAAATTGGCTTTGGAGAAATCTCAAAAGGAACTAGACAATGCACCTTTCTAAAAGACATCGAGGGATGAAGAGGAATTTTTGTTGTAGAAATATGTTGCAAAAATTACTGATGAATAAGCATTCTACATACAGAAATCAAGGGTTCAATGGTTACATCTTGGTGATCAGAATTCAGCTTATTTTTTCAAAACCATGTCCAACAAGAGAAATCAAAATAAAATCATCTCTATCAAGAGATCAAATGATACTATTGCAACTGGTAGTGAAGAGGTTAACTAAAGAAGCTGTTTGTTAGCCTTTGAAGTTCTTGTTTTCCAAAATCTATTTTATCAGACAATTTCTGTGTCTCAAGCTTTTGTAATGAGTTTAATACCTTGAGTTGAAGACGTCAAGAAGGTCATATTCTCCCTTAAAAATAACAAAGCTCCTAGACTAGATGGTTATACAATATTTTTTCACAAAAAAGCTTGGTCTATTATTGGTTTAGATGTCACTTTTGCTATTATTAAGTTCTTTACAAAAGGTCATTTGTTAAAAGAGTTGAATTCCACTATTATTACCCTTGTTCTAAAAGTCTTAATCCATCAAGTATGGCAGACTTTGGGTCAATATCTTGTTGCAATACCTTATACAAAGCTATTTCAATTCTTATTGCTAACAATATTAAAGTGGTTCTTCTAGATTTGATAAGCTTCAACCAAACAACCTTTGTTCCAAGGAGAAAGATTTGAGACAAGGATATGATAGATTATGTTACAAGCTTTTGGTTCAAGAGTGATGGAAATCGTATTAAGGAAGAATTAGGGATGAGAATGGAAGAAGAAAGGGATGAGAAAAGAAGAAGAAGGAGATGAGAATAGAGAAAGAATTTTAGGAAGAAAATTCAATATCAAAAATCAATAATCAAAGTCTAATCTCACAACAAATATGTATCCCCTATATATATATAAGGAGTTCACAAATCCTATATAAACCCTAAAATAAATAAATAATCAAAATGACAACTAAATCCTTAAAAGTTAAAAGAAAATACTTAAAAAATAAATGTTAAATTACTCTCATGTTTAATTTAAAATATCTAACCAATTCTTACATGATCCCTATCATCTTCTTTATGGATTCAGGGTGTTCTTGTTCTATACACTTAGAGATGATGATCTCTTTGTGTCCTCTCATTTACCGCTACATCAATAACCCTCAATTCCTTAGAAATTAGTGCTGGCTAGAACCATCGATCCTGGGAATCACGAATATGGATACGTGATACGATAAAGATACGATGATAAGTGGGATACGGGTACGATCATGATACGTTTATGATAAAATATATTTCATATTTTACTATTATTTAATGACTTAAAAGTTATAATTTTCAATAATTCTCTAATAGTAGTAATCAAAATTAGAAATTTTTACTTTTGAAAAAGACTTTATATCGTCTCATTATGATATATCCATAAAATGAGTATGATCAATTAAAGGAATTAAAATCACATTTAACTAGTTGGTTTGTTTACAAGCATTTATTTTTAAGATTATAGTATAACCAACTCATTTCTTTATACTCTTTTGACATGATAATACTTAAAAAACACTCATGTCTTCAAAATTAGATGGAATTTTGTTGATATTTTGTATTGTATGTGAACTCGAAAGGAAAAGATATAGATTAAAATTAAAAATTATACATCTTACTCCATATTTAGAATGATCCGTAAAATATCTACATATTTTATTATTTACCGGATACGTATAATGTCTATCTAATAGGTATCTTCAAGTATCCGATGAGTACAATATCCACTACAAATACACTGATCTTGAACAAGTATCCTGCTTCATAGCATCGATCATTCAGCACAATAGAATTAACCATTGAATCCTTAAATAACCTTGAGTCATATATCACTATTTAAGGCCATCTAAATATCAAAGGTCCATGAGGATGCCAACCATCAAACCAAAGCTTGGTATTTGACCCATCACCGGTCAAATGTTTCATAAAAGGTCTAGTTAACTGTCTGAATTTCACTATCTTTAGCCATGCCCATGAACATACTTGTGGTGTCTTCATCTCCCATAAACTCTTGCCTCTCAAATAAAAACTTTTGATCCTTTGATCCCATAATCTGCAATCATCTATAAACAAATTTCAAATATGCGTTATCATTAAAGCTTTATTCCCATCAGTAAGTTTCTTGTATACTATGTCATTAGACCTCCCTCCTTCTTTGGTTTAGTAACCTCTTCCCAAGCCACATTAGCACCTGACAACTTCATTTTTGTTCCAGACCAAAGAAAACCTCTTAAGGTTGCTCAATCCTTTTTCAAGGCAAACTTGGGAATGATAAAATGACTACACTAGAAACTCTGCATGCAGCATAAAACAGAATGAGTAAGTCGTATCCTCCAGGCATATGACAAAGATTTATTGACCCAAGACTTAATACGAGCCTCAATTTTCCTGATTAAATGCTCACACTACTAGATATAATAGGAACACCTAAGTACCTTATCGGAATGCTGCCTCCCAAGAAGCTAAAGCAATGACTAATCTGCTGCTTAATATCTTCTTGAACCCCAGCTCAAAAAATCTGTATTTTTGCATTATTAGCTCTAAGCCTAGAGATAGACTCAAACTGATATAATGAAGCTTTAAGTACTAGTGCAAATGCAGTGTCACCATAGATCATCATGATCAAATCATCTGCAAAATAGATTTGAGATAATTTGGGTTTATCACATCTCCAATGAAAACGAAAATCCTGAAAATTATTAATACCCCTGGAAAGTAACTGAGTAAGAGTCTCCATGGCTAGGACAAATAGATAAGGAGAAATAGGGCGTCCTTGTCTAAGACCTCTATAATTTCATGCTAGTTCCCCATTAATGGTAACTAAAAACTTAGGGGAAGTCAAGCGTGCTCTAATCCAATGCACCCCAACTGGAGGAAACAGTAATGCACGAAAAGCTTGTAACATAAAGTTCCAACTAATAGTATCATAGGCTTTCATAAGATCCACCATCACAACACACCTAGGAAGACCTTTATCCTTGTGATAATCTCTCATAAGCTCTTTGATAAGGATCATGTAGGAATTGGATAGATATTTTAAATTAAACATGAGAGTAATTTAGTATTTATTTTTTAAATATTTTCTTTTAACTTTTAAGGGTTTAGTTGTCATTTAGATTATTTATTTATTTTAGGGTTTGTGATCTCCTTATATATATAGGATTTGTGAACTCCTTATATATATACGGGATACATATTTGTTGTGAGATTAGACTTTGATTATTGATTATTGATATTGAATCTTCTTCCTAAAATTCTCTCTCTATTCTCATCTTCTTCCTCTTTTCTCATCACTTTCTTCTTTCATTCTCATCCCTAATTCTTCCCTAATACGATCTACATCAATTTGGTATCAAAGCTAGTACGATCTACATCAGAAGAATAAGAGAACAACTATGAAAAGGTATATTATTGACTCGATTAAATCTTAGTACATTAGACAATTTATAGGATAACTCCAAACCCTAAGGGTTTCTAAAGCGGAAACAAATCCCCAACCTTAGGAAAATTACTAAAAACAAATAAACACATGTCTAATGAATTAGAAAAATTGATATGGTTTAGGCAACTAAATCACTCTAGAATAAAATAAAATATTCCTAGTATCCTAAATAATAAAAATAAAATAGAAAATTGATAATCTTGTTCTACATCAGACCCCTCCTTAAAAAAAACTCGTTCTCAAATTTCTATTGCTTGAAACAGTTCGATACGTCTTTGTTTATCTGTAGCTGCTTTGTATTTCAGATTAATCTTTCTAAGCACGCTATCACATAAATCTTCAATGCCCTGATTTTCCATTCAATAACATTTTGTA